TTTTTTAATAATATTAAAAATATCTGTATGACATTATATTCTGCAGTTCTTCCCTGTTGTACCGAATATCTATAATTTTCAAATTATCATATCGAAGTTAGAAATTAAAATATTGTGACAAAATTAATTTTGTAGGGTGCCACAAGTTTGTTAAAATTTCCAAAGGGTGCCGCGACTAAAAAAAGGTTGGGAAACACGGGTGTAGACAACGTGTTCTGGATCCAGTTCATTGCCCCCTCGGTTCAGTGCTGGAGTTTCTTCAAAGTCGTTTTTCTGAAGGAGTGACCCCCGCTACTCTCAAAGTGTATGTAGCGGCCATATCTGCGGGACATACACTCGTAGGAGGTGTTTCAGTGGGTCGTCATCCTTTGGTTTCACGTTTTATGCAAGGTTCGAGACGGCTTAGGCCTTTCCGCCCGACCCGAGTTCCTTCTTGGGATCTATCGATCGTTCTGTAAGGTCTGTCGGGCCATCCTTTTGAGCCGTTGGAGTCTGTGTCCGAGAAATTGCTGACTCTCAAGGCGATTCTCTTGTTGGCTTTATCCTCCCCCAAGAGAGTAGGGGATTTGCAGGCTCTATCCATCAGCCCTTCATGTATGGACTTTGCCCCAGGGTTGGTAAAAGTTTTATTGCGACCTAGGCCTGATTATGTTCCTAAGGTCGCTTCAAATCCATTTCGCTTTCAGCAAGTGGTCTTAGAGGCTTTCTCCCACGCTGACGCGGGGTCAGGTAGCATGGGTCTCTGCCCAGTCAGGGCATTAAGAATCTATGTAGATCGCACAGCTCAGTGGCGTGGATCGGACCAGCTGTTTGTATGTTTTGGTGGCAAGAGCAGCGGCTCCGCTGTCTCTAAGCAGCGAATGTCACATTGGATAGTAGAGGCTATCTCTTTGGCCTACAAGGCGCGTGGTTTGACTTCGCCTCTAGGATTACGTGCTCACTCTACGAGAGACTGCGATGAGGGTCGTCCGTACCTTGATAGCGCTTCCTTCGTCATATATGGAAATCTGATGAAATAGCACGCGGCACGCAGATATAGCATACGTTACGTATGCGTGAGGGGCGGTGCTAGGTGCTATTTGGCAATAAATTAGCGTGATGATATAAGGGCTTCAGACATTCGTCACACCGTGGGTGTTCCCAAAGCGATGACGTCATCGCAGCATCTTGTTCCGTATTCAGGGAACTAGGGTTACATGCGTAACCGAGATGTTTTTTTTTTTTTTTAAACTTGCACTTTGATTTCAAAAGTTTGAATTTTCAGTCCCCCCCAAAAAAGTTTTCGTGTAAATGAAGGGTCAAAACGCTTAAAAAGTCCCATTTTTAGTTAAAAATTGTGTCGTGTAAACACTCCCTCAGTGACAGAATGGATTTCCACTCAGCTGCCATATATTTAAATGACACAGGCTACTGTGCCGTTTCAATCAGAGTGTCATATGAGCTCAACAAAACCCCTGAGAATCTCACAAAACATGCTCAGGTCACATTTCACCAAAAATAAAAAAGTAAGTAAATAAATAAATAAATACAATACATATATGGCATAAAGAAAATATAGTTGATTCAGACAAGAATTTTTATTATAATAATATTATTATTTTAATGATAATTAAGCACAAATTTCCCTTTAAATTCGTATTAATTTCCATAATTTTGTTAACCCATTATTCTGAATAACACTATTTAATGTAATTATTGAAATTTAACAAATACTATCATGATGCATAATTCCTTACAATGTAAACAAACAAAAAAATCTTAGTTTTTTATTGCAGCAATTAAAATAGAGGAGGGGATGCTTAATTTTTTTAAATGAAAATAATGCCACAATTTGAGCTTTAATGGTCCTAAAACAGGCTTCATTGTATTTATATTGTTTATATTTATTTTTTATATTTATATGATTTTTTTCTTCTGATTTTTGGGTGAAATATAATCTGTAAATCTTTTAAGGTTTCATGAGATTCGTTTATTTACTATTACTACCAAGCAATGGAGTAATTTAAAATGATCAAATCTACCTGATACTGGTGCTCCGGCGTAATTTTTTGCAACAGCATCCCACTTGTAGGCCTGGGCAAAGCGCTGAGTGAACTATAGGCATTATGGTGTTGCTATCTTTTGTATTTTGCTCAGAAAAAAAGTGTCTGTTGACACTATCTGCAGAGATCATTATGAAAATAGACCGTGGGAAAAGAAACCTCTTTTGGCACCTAAGAAGCATTCCTGCTTCGTACCTGAGGCTGTTTGGGCAAAATAATAGACCATCTAACATAAATACTAAGACAGGAAGAAACAGAACGGTGAACGCATGACACTTCCATTGGCTACTGAAATCATGCAAAAAGGCTCTGTGCTGATTGGGTCTTAGCACTGTTGAGCATTTCTGCATGCCGGCACTAGTTCAGGGTGAAAATTAGCATGCCACCCCAAAACGTCCTGCAAATATAGACAGTGCAGGACTTTGGTTAGCAATTAAACGCAGGGCTTAGGCCTCTACTAGGAGAAACTGGATGGACCAGATGGTACTATAGTTATCACTCCTCCGAAAGAGCTACTTATCTCAACCATTGCAGATAAAATCAGCACCTCCAACTGCCTGACAAGAGATGCGCAAGGGCTGCAAACAACTGCCTTACATAGATGGACCGGGTGCTCGGATTTTGCTTTTAGTTAAGATGGCCCATATATGGGGACCTGTGTCAGAGTGAACGCAATGCACTGTATTTTCAGAAAGGGTTTACACAATTACATGAGATTTAACTCATAGCTCTGGCTGTAGTGGAGTGGATGTTCAGAGTCGGTGCCGCGAGTCGTTACTGTAGCCCCCGGGGGAGCCCCGGTTGCGGTGAGGTTTGTACGCATCTTGATAGGGATCATGGTAGTCCTCCTCTACCAGAGGGTAGTGGTCTTGACTTTGCTGGGAGCTGGAGGACAGGTGGTTATGACTCTTCTTTTGCCGCTCGTTGTTGTGGTAGTTCTCATCGGACGTCATCAAGCTGCGCCGTTCCATTGGAGAGTTGTCACTGATGTGATTGCTGTTTTTATTTCTTTGGCTCTGTTGAAAGTTTACTGATATTAGCAGCGGAACCAATATATTACAATTCAAAATAACCCTTTCAGAGGACAGTATTAAGCAGTTACTTTCGAATATGTTACTACATACAGTAAGCTAACAATTTCTGTAGAAAAAATTACATGAAATTAATTCCTGCACACATAAACATAATATTTCAATTTACTTTATTTTTTACCATTCTGAGCATTTTTGGTTTCTGAAATTTCATGCAAATCTCCAGTTCATTCCTATGGTACATCCTTTAAAGCTTGTGATGGCAAAATTAAGCAAGGGGGCGGAGCTTATCAAGGACTTTCAACACATTCTAATCAGCATATTTTGGAATATTTAAAACTTATTTAAAACAAGAGTCCCAAGTCTCCACTCACCTGTAGTCCAGAGATGGCTGCGGGGTACGGTGAGAGTGCAGTGGAGCCCAGGTTGCGGCCCAGCAGAGGGTTCAGAGGAGTGCTGAGGGAAGTGTGAGTTGCACGCCAGTAGGCCTCCAGATACTCGGTCAGATGTTCACATGCATCCTCGAGCTGATTCTCATCCAAAATTATGTCAAACATTTCCTGGAACAGGGCAGGAACAGCAATGTAGTCAGTGTTTTATATGTCACATCCTTTATTTTTTATGCATTCCATTCAACCACCTCCCTCTATTTTGGCGCATAACGCCAACTTTTCACAACCCAATCCAACCTCAATGAATAAAAATCACATTTTGTCTTACTGAATATCCTGTGTTACTGTGATACACTACCGTTCAAAAGTATTTTTGTTTGTTTTTTGAATGAATGCATTTATTCCGCAAGGACGTATTAAATTGACCATAAGCCACAATAAAGACCTTTATGTTACAAAAGATTTCAATTTCAAACAAATGCTGTTAATTTGAACTGTCTATTCATCAAAGAATCCTGAAAAAATGACATTTCCACAAAAAGTACTAAGCAACACAAATGTTTTCAACATCTACAAAGTTTCATTTTCAGCAAAACAGCATATTAGAATGATTTCTGTAATATCACGTGACACTGAAGACTGAAGTAATGACTGCTGAAAATTCAGCTTTGCCATCACAGAAATAAATTACGTTTTAAAATATTTTCAAATCAAAAACAGTTTTTTAAATTGTAATAATATTTCAAAATATGACTGTTTTACAGTATTTTTAATCAAATAAATGCAGCCTTGGTGAGCATAAGAGACTTCTTTCGAAAACATCTTACTGACCCCAAACTTTTGAGCAGTAGTGTATGTCAGTAAAATGGGTTGCAAACACTGTAAAAGAGAAGAATCAGACTATGTTATGTTATTCTGGATACTCACTGGAGGACACTGAGCTAGTTTGTCTGCTGCCACCAGTTGTACATTTAAATGCTTGCTTTGAGACTTCCCTCGTGATTTGATCAGCCGTTGCAATACCTGTAAGCACACAAATGCAATAACTATGTAATCATAACATCATTCAACTAACATATATTGTTAATACTTGTTCAATTCAATTCAATTCAATTCAATTCAAGTCTTTTAATAAAGAAATGCAACCATTTTACCTTGGGAGAAGACACTTTGACATGGACAATAATGGGAGCTAAAGAAGTCTTGATGAGCTGGGCTGGATGGTTGATCGTGTCGGCATCCAGCACAACCAGCTGAAGGGATCTGGCCAATTCAAAAATTCGCTCGATCTCACTCTGAACCTCCGCTGACAGAAAGAGAAGACATTCAGCATGTCAACATGCTGACTTAGAAGCAGGAAACATGTTTAACATTAATTAATTAACTTGCATTCAGTTAGAAATGCTCAATGGCAAATAAACATGAGCTGACATACCCAGGTTGGATCTGGTGTTGGATCTCTCAATAATGGCTCTCTTACTAGGGTTATTCAGCACAGATCTCTTGGCCAAAGAGATGTCTGCGGTTACTCTTGTGATTGATATCCTGAAATTAGGAAATAAATGTACTGAAATCATGAACACATGGGCAGGAAAGGTATTCAAAATCCAAAACGCATTAAAAGCTGTCCCTCACCTGCCTTCAAACCTGTGTTTCAGGAAGTCGAAGAGCGCTTTCTGCATCATATCTGTCACCTGTGTTCAAACCCATGAGGACAGGAGAGTAAAAAGGAAGATTTTATTTGAAAGACTTATTGGAAAAACTGAGGAAAATATCTCATTTACTTCAACAGCGTCTTGCCAGGAAATGACTGGAATGAGTTTGCATTATTTGCATTACATCACTTGCTCATCAATGGATCCTCTGCAGTGAATGGGTGCCGTCAGAATGAGAGTCCAAACAGCTGATAAAAACATCACAATAATCCACAAGTAATCCACACGATTCCAGTCCATCAATTAACGTCTTGTGAACCAAAAAACCTACATCCATCATTAAGACAAAATATGAGTCCATAATGCTTCCTCCTGTTGTCCTCTCACATCAAAATCTACAGATATATTTGTTTAGAACTGTTTTGGACTGTTTTCGCTTGCAAACGGAGCTTGATCTGTGCATATCTCTCTCCTGATTCAGACAAGGCTACTTTTCACAGGAGAAAGCAATGGTTAGTAAGCAATGGATAGAGGACTCATATTTTAGCCATAAGCAATGCTTTAAAATTAAAAACGTCTATTACAAACATTCAGATTGTCACTTTATGAGACATTAATGGATGGGACTGGAGTTGTGTGAATTATTATTGTGATGCTTTTAGCAGCTGTTAATACTCTCATTCTGACGGCACCCATTCACTGCAGAGGATCCCCTGGTAAACAAGTGATGTAATGCTAAATTTCTAAAAGTCCAATGAAAAGACAAACTCACTTGGGTGAATTATTCTTTTAAATAATGTTTGTAAAGGAGCAGATGACACATATTCGTAAATAATGAGCTTAAATGATCAAACACAGCTGTTTATTTTTCACAGATCAATCATGATATATGCTCCAAGAGATCTAGTCTAATATTGGTGCATGCTAACATGCTTCTCACACTGATTTCAGGGATGGTGGTTATGTTTTTTTCCTTTCTTTCTAATTTCAAACCATGCTCCATTTTTGAGACTGGCATGTTGTACCCAGAAGGTTGTTGCCTTGGCAACTCTGCTTGGAGATGATGACTGCTATTCAGTGACAAACCGACATCCCCTCTCGCTCGCTGCTTTAGAAGTGATGCCCTGGTTACCATGTCTAAATATACACACACACCATAGGGATTGGGGGAGGCCTACCTCATATCCCTTAAGTGATGGGCCAACTAAGACCACCGGCCTCATGGAAGGGACCACATCGTATGGAGGAATGTGCTCGGCCTACAAAATAACAGCAATTTGATGTGAAACAATATGCTGTTTACTTGCACTACAATAACCCCATACTGATTACTGCATGAACACTGCAATAGCTTTAAACAGAAGTTTGTTACAATAGTATAGTCTTTTGTAGAATTTATATAATTGAAAAAATGAAATAAAGCTCACTCACCACTTTCTGTTTCTGTTTACCTGTGATGATGGAAAAGAGGAATTTTAAAAAGTAGATTAAAACAAAATCTGATGCATCTTTTCTCTACTTAAAATACAAAATAAAATTAAATGAAATAAATATTATTTATTAACATTTTCAGTGCCTAGCATTCTTCCTGTATGGTTTTTAATGTTACACTAAATTTCACTGGGCAACACAGCCAAGCCATATTTATTTTGTGTCAAGGGGCATTAACAAGATATGAAGTGTCTATTTGGACAGCATTAACAACAACAGATATGTTTCCCCTGGTTGCTATTGGAAAACATCAATTTATTCTGTAATTTCTGGACATTTTATAAAACCAGCATGTAAATCTGAAGTGGACTGGAACCCTTCACTAAAGCTGAAGAATGAAGCTGACCTGCAAAAGCAGGGTTGGGCTTGAAGGTGCCTGACACCATTTCACCCAGACTGGAAGAAGAGTTCCCACTGGACTTCCTATAGGGGCAGAATAAAGAATAGGGAATGGTGGTAATTAAGGACTGTTAATTAAATAGTTTTCACAAAAAAAAAAAGAGCTCATCACATTGCATGACTAATTGGAGTCCAGTTATATTCTTACAAATAAATTATTAGTACTTCTTATTTTTAAATTAACTTTGCATGAAATATTGTGGCAGTCAGATCAAGTTTGGCATTTTTAATGTAATTTTGTGTAAGCATTTGGACAGTCTGAGTTGAGACAAAGATGTCAGAAGCAAGAATATGCTATAAAGTCAAATTTTTATTCATCTTTGTATTGTGTTTAAGGTAACTCCAGTAAAAAGTAATATATTTAGAATACATTTATTTCATACTAAGTATAGCTCAAATGTATTATTTACTGACGTATCCCTCGAGACTTACTGATATAAAAGTTATATTTAAACTTTATTTGGAGTACTACTTGTGCACAATGCACATTTCTTAATATTTAATGTCACTACTGATGACGATTATATGATCTTTGAATAATATCAGTCTTTAAAGGAACACTCCACCAAAGAGTTTCGATATGTTTCCTATTTAAAACTAGACTCTTCTGTAGTTACATCGTGTACTAAGACCGATGGAAAATGAAAAGTTGTTGTGATTTTCTAGGCCGATATGGCTAGGAACTATACTCTCATTACGGCGTAATAATCAAGGAACTTTGCTGCCGTACCATGGGTGCAGCAGGTGCAATATTATTATGCAGCGTCTGAAAATAGTCCCCAGCTAGGTAACTTCCAACGGAAGTCACACTCCCTGTGCAAGCAGGTGGTCACGTTGGTTATGTTGGTGGAAGTTTGCCTATTTTCAGGCGCTGCGTAATATCATTGTCAATATCATATCATATCATCATATCGAAACTCTTTGGTCATTTTTGAGCGAGATGCTAATGGTCTAATCAGATTCAATGATCTATGCTAAGCTACAGCTAAAAGTGCTACCGCCAGACCTGGAGATCGGCTAATGGATTTGAAAACGGTAAAACTCAACTGTTTAACTCTAGGGGAGTTGGAAAATGAGCCTATTTTCAAAAATAGTGGAGTGTTCCTTTAAATGCAAGATATTTAAAGTGTACCCAAAGTATACTTGCAATAGTTCCACTTTAGCACAATCAAATATACTTCAGTATATCTTTAGTTGGACTTCAGCACTACTTCCTCACAATTAAAGTGCATTAAGTACATAATTTGTTGTTCCAATTTAGCAGACTTTAAACTTTAATCAATACCAAAAGTACAGTTGCAGGGTATTTTTATTACATACGTAAATATGTAAATGTACTTAGTACTTAGCAAATGTATTTCAAATACATTTTAGTATATTTATTTTTCACTAGGGATGTAATATGTAAACATCTTGAAGGATCTATCTGGATCACTATTTTAGACATACTACGTTTTTCCTTTGTTAAAGGGGTGGTTCATTGCGATTTCACTTTTTTTACTTTAGTTAGTGTGTAATGTTGCTGTTTGAGCATAAACAATAGCTGAAAGTTCAATGCAAACGGAGATATCGTCTTTTAAAATTCTGCCAGTTTAATGCCTACAAAAATGTCTGGTAGGGACTACAACGAGTTACTTCCCGGGTTCGTGACATCACGAACCCAGATAAACCCCGCCCTCGGGAAAAGGCAACAAAGGGGGCGAAGCCATGCGCTGCTTTAGAGAAGAGGAAGAGAAAACTAGAGGTGCACGTAAAAATCTATTCATATATGAATCGCGATTCTGTCTTCGAACGATTCTAATGGATTCACAAGTTTCAAAATCAATGTTCTAAAGCAGCGGTTCTTAATACTGTTCCTTGCGTCCCCCTGCTCTGCACACGCTCTGCATCTCTCTCTCTCTCATTCAGCTCAGCTTCAACAATGAACTGTTCCAATTATACACTTATTTTCACATAGCTATGAGAAGCGTTAAACATGGACCCGCGTGCAGTTGCCGTACTGTATTAAAGCTTTAATCAGGATAAAACCGTATATTAAAAGCTAACATAAGCAGTAGCATTTACAAATAACAACGCATCTAAAAGTATGAGACAACAACAAACAAAAA